TGGCAGAACCAACTTCACAGAAGACCGGATGAGGTGGCGATGTTGTAACTGAAACCTCTGCACTTGTGAATGGGGGACCATTGTCCGAAACAAACACATCTGGATTGCCGTGACGCGCAAACATGGACTTCAGTTGCGTGATGAGAGAAGCTGCAGAAGTACGGGACATCTGAGCAAGCTCGATCCATCGGGAGTAGTAGTCAACGACAACTAGGTACTGAGAGCCTTGGAACTGCATGAAATCGGCAGCGACTTCCTGCCACGGGAACTCAGGAAGACGTGAGGACAGCAGGGGCTCCATTGGCATTGGCTTGTCACGAGCGCAGGCTTGGCAATTGGACACGATATCAGCCAACTGGGCGCTTAGACATGGCCACCAAACTGACTGGCGAGCCCTTTCGCGGGTCTTCGTGATGCCGAGGTGACCAGCATGGAGCTGCTGGAGGACTTCTGGACGGAGCTGGTCTGGGATGACGATTCTGGAACCGTACAGCAGCAGGCCATCTGTGATACAGAATGACTGCCGGGATGCGTAGTAGGGCTTAACGGACACTGGAGCAGACTGTAAGCTTGGCCAACCGGACAGAGTGTACTGCACAAGATGTTGACACACTGGGTCTTGAGCCTGCTGGTGTTGAATCTCACTCAGTCTTGCATCGGACGCAGGGAGATGAGAAACCACACTGTCGAGAAAAGCTTCTGCGTCGTCGAGGAGGCGGACGTCATCAGCGGACAGAGGACGCGACGCAGGTGACCTAGATAAGGCATCAGCAACGATTAGATCTTTGCCAGGGATGTGTACGATGTCGAAATCAAATCGCATCAGGTTGAGCCGGAACCGAAGTACACGTGGAGGGATAGAGTCGAGAGCACTGGTGCTGAACAGGGGCACCAGAGGCTTGTGATCTGTTTCCAGCGTGAATCTCTTACCGATGAGGTAATCAGAGAATCGGTTGCAAGCCCAGGTGAGGCCAAGAGCTTCCTTTTCTATTTGAGCATAGCGACGCTCTGCCGGCAGTAGTGCACGAGACTGGTACGATACGGGTTTCCAATCGCCGGACGGCTGTTGCTGCTTGATAACGGCACCGAGACCATAGCTCGAGGCGTCTGCAGAGACAATAGTTGGGTACTCGGGAGAGTACAGAGCAAGAACAGGCGTACACGACAGAAGAGCCTTAATCTCTTCAAATGCCGATTGCTGAGTGGATCCCCAGGACCAAGCATTGCCTTTCTTGAGAAGGTCGCGGATCGGCTGTGAGACGGAAGCAAGTGAGGGAGAGAACTTGCCAAGCTGGTTGACGAGGCCGAGAAAGCTTCTCACATCCGAGACATCCTGGCATGGCGTGAAGTCTTGAATGCCCTGCACCTTCTGAGGATCAGAGTGGATGCCGTCTTGGTCGATGATATGACCCAAGAACTTGGCAGAAGTGACTTTGAAGAGACACTTGTCCGGGTTGAGTGTGACACCGTTGTCGCTGAGCCGTTGTAGCACCTGGTGCAGCCGGTTATCATGTTCCTCTTCAGTGCTACCGAACACTAGAGCGTCGTCCATCTGACATGCGGTACCGACCACACCGTTCATGATCCGAGCCATTCGTTTCTGAAAATGCTCGGGAGCCAAACAAATACCGAATGGTAGACGTGTGAACATGAAACGCCCAAACGGGGTGATAAACGTGATCAACTTCTGGGATTCCTTGGCCAAGGGCACTTGGTAAAACCCAGAGTTGGCGTCAAGCTTTGTGAAATACTTGGCACCGCCCAACTGACCCAGCGTGTGGTCTACCGCCGGCAAGACGAACTACTCACGACGAACGTGTTGGTTGAGACGTGTGTAGTCAACGCACAGACGGACTGCCTCCCCTCCAGGTTTGGCGACAACAACAAGGCCAGCACACCAATCAGTTGGTTCGTCGACAGGGACGACGACGCCTTGCTTTTCCATTTTTTCAAGCTCCGCTTTAACAATCGGCATAAGCGGTATTGCCACATTGTCGCGCGGGCAGGACAGAGCAAATGGCTTGGCGCCTTCTTCGAGGCGTATGCAGTGAGGCTCTCCAGCGAACCTGCCGAGAGGTTTGAACAAATCGGGGTATGCAGCTCGTGCTGTCGGGGTGTCGCGAATACCGCTCGATACTTCAGAGATGTCAGCCTTGACGTCCAGGAGGTCCAAGGCGACTATTGCAGGGCGTCCTAGGAGGGCCTGCTTGAGGTTGTTGGCAACGAAAATCTCTTGGCGAGACGACTTGCCCGCATGTGTTACCATTGCGTCGAACACGCCAGCTACGTCGAGGACGCTTGAGTTAGCAGACATCAGGGTACGACGACTGGGTCGCAGGGCCTGCGCATCTAACAGGCGGAATACACTTGCTGGAATTACAGAGACATCGGCTCCGGTGTCGATCTTCATCATGACTGGGGAGTTGTTGACTTCCACCGACACAGACCAAGGGTCACGTCCGGCATCGACGCTGCCGAGAAACATGCCAGGGGCATGCGCATCTGGCGGTACAGTATGTACAGCGTCACAGGATCGTTGCTTCTTCTGGCACACAGTAGCAAAGTGCCCTTGTTTCTTACAGAAATTACACTCAGCTGATCGAGCTGGGCAAACTGCACAATCATGGTCTTCCTTCCCACAGAATTGAAAACTCTAGCTGTAGCTTCATGTGTCCTCGCAACTTCCAGCCCTTCGTCCAGAGACGACAACTGGTCGCCCTTCTCCAACAGCTTCTCCTGTACCGTTTTATGTCGGGTGCCGACAATCAGCTGCTCTAGCAAACGGGTGTTGATTTCACCGGCATCGGCAAATTTGCACTCCACTGCCAAGTTCCGAAAGCGACAGAGAAAATCGTCAGTGGTTTCCCCCACATTTTGCCGTTGCTGTTGAAGCTGGAAACGGGCCAGCCACGCGTTTACTTTCGGCTGCAGGTGGGCCTGAAAACGGGAAAGTAATTCGTCCACTTTGAAGCGGTCAGCTTCGTCTGCAAATGTCCAGGAATTGTAGATGTCCACACCAGGTCGGCCTATCCAAAGGAGGATATACGAGCATTGCTCTTTCGCCGACTTCGCTGAGTACGGACCTCCGAAAATCAATTCACAATACTGCCTAAACGAGGCGAATTCCTCTGGGAGGTTGTCTGACTCCCATCTCATGGATGGAATAGAAAATCCAGCCATCGTTTATATCAGCAGCCCAATTCTGACACCATGTAGTATTATTCACAATATGGACAAGGAGACATGGACGAGTAAACTAATGAGGAGCAAGAAATGCACAACCAGTAGGTAAGTGAAAAACCAGAGAAGTCCCGAGCAAGTGAAGCACATCAAAGTTCTGGCCTACGGGAAACGGCCTGTGTGACGTACATACAGCATGCAACGCATACAGCCATAAGTGTACAGTAGTGTACGCATAATAGAGTCCAGATATTACAACAGTCAGGAATGGTAACAGGCCAGTCATGGATTACGTAGCGCATCACACTGGATAACACGGAAGCCTTGGCTAGGTTGGCGAGAACGGATGGACTCGTGGGATCTTCGGCAGTAGTTGATAAAACCATGCCTGATGCTGGTGCTCGTGAAAGCGTGTCAGCCATCACCAGATCCTTGCCGGGAACGTGTATGGCATGAACTTCGTCCCGGAGGAAGCCGAGCAACATTCGTTGGCATCAGATGCGAACCTTGTCCAGGTCTCTGGTGTTGATCAGCGGTACTAGCGGCTTGTGGTCCGTCTGCACGATGAACCTGGGAGCGCCGAAGAGGTACTGGTCTAACCTTTCGCTCGTCCACACCACTGCGAGGCATTCCTTTTCTATCTGTGCGTAGCCTTGTTCCGTCTTGGTCAGTGAAAGGGAGGCGTAGGCCACTCGGCGCCAGTCGCCATTGTGCTTCTGCAGAAGAACACCACCAATGCCATAGCTGCTGGCTTCTGCACTGACCATGATGGGATGCTTGGGGTTATAGTGCACTAAGCACGGGGCTGAAACGGAGAGCTCTTTCAGCCGAATTCGTCCTGCTGTGGGGAGTCCAAGAACCATTCAGTGTCGGTGTGCGGGAGCTGACGTAGGGGCGCTGAGATCGTAGCCAATTCTGGGATGAATCTGGCGACGTATGTAAACAGACCCAAGGCACGGTGGAGCTCAGGAACATTCATAGGCTCCTTGAGGTCTTCAATGGCAGAAACTTTGCTGGGGTCGGTGTTGCGGCCCTCTGGCCGTGGTAGACAAGATTTCCTTCCAACCGTTACTTGTTCTTGTTCTTTACCAAGTGAAAAAAAACTGAATCTGCAAGAGTCCTGAAAAGCAAAGATCGACACGTGTACATGTAGCCTCAAGCAGAAAAGCTGGCAGCGCAAAAGGAAACATGAAGCCAAAAGAGATGCCTAGCTCTGGCGTACATCGTTGAGGTCACTGCGCATCCGGTGCACTGCGCTCCAAAGATGCAGGCACGGCGCCCTAAGAAGCGACGACATCCATAAACTGCATCGCATCATGCAGATAGAGCGATAGTGTACCGAAACTAGTATGAAATACAAACAAAAACAAAATAACTGAGAGAAGCGAAAATAAAGAAATCAAAGAGGAGAAGAGAAAGAGAAGAGAAAAGGAATATAATTCTTATTACTTAGAGCTAGACAGATATTGTCAAGGAGACATTCAGATACACAATAGAATCGACTCGACTGCATGTAGAGTAGCTGCCTGTAACTGCAGCAGAGTGGAGCACGCAGGTACGTGATCAACCACGGGAAAAGTGAAAGGTGAGAGAAACAAAATACAAATAAATTCGAACGAGCAAATACAATAATTGTGAATTCACGTTCCAGTGTCTGTAACACCATGGCTGTAACATTCTCCCCCCGGTAAGGCAACCCGGGAGGCTTATCAATTAAAAAAAAAACATAACAGACAGTCTGGCAAAAAGCGGCAAGTCTAAACATCGGCTTTTGCGACAAACCATAAACAAGTCACCAGTGTCCGCCGCCACACGAGAGTTCATACCTGCTTGTGTACGTCCAGCTTACACAACCGAGCTACTGGCCTGCGGTATGTACCCGTCTGAGTCTTTACATCCACAACACGTACACGACCATCCTTGCCGGGGTGAGTGGCGACGACTCTACCACGAATCCAACTTCCTGGGGGTAGGTTGCTGTCGGCGATGATGACCACATCATCCATTGCCAAGTCAGCTGCACTTGCATGGTCCTTGTGCCACTTTGTTCGCCGAGACAGCTCTGGCAGGTACTCTTTCACCCATCGCTGCCAGAACATGTCAGCTAAACACTGAGCTATACGCCATCCCTTCCGCAGGCACAAATCAGCATCAGTACTGGCGGTGATGGGGTGGTTGGGACTGGACGTGCTGATCATTAAATGACTCGGCGTCAATGCCTCCGGATCATTAGGATCAACAGAAACGTGTGTCAGTGGCCTACTGTTTACAAGGACTTCAGCCTCTGCGAAAGCTGTAGCGAGCACCTCGTCGGACGGCGTACGCACATCCATGATGGCCCGGAGGGCACTCTTCACCGAATGCACCAAACGCTCCCAGACTCCACCCATGTGCGGCGCGGCTGGCGGGTTGAAATGCCACTGGATGCTGTGCAGTGTCAGCTCTGTGGTGAGTTGATCTTGTTGCAGGGCCGACAGTGCTGTCGACAGCTCCTTATCTACTCCATGCAGGTTTGTGCCATTGTCGGAGTACATCTTGGCGGGGTGACCACGCCGGGCTGTGAACCGCCGGATCGCCATGGTAAGACTGGTTGCGATTTCCAGATGCACTGCGCGGGTAACGAGGCACGTGAATAGCACGCCACAGCGTTTCTCATAACGTCGTCCCACCTTCACTGTCAGAGGACCAAAGTAGTCGACTCCTGTCGTTGCGAACGGACGGATGTTGGGCGTGAGGCGCGAGGCTGGTAGGTCGCCCATCATCGGCACTTGCGGTTTGCGGCTTGCATTCTTGCACTTCTGGGACAGTATCCACAAGAGCTTGACTGCGGAGCGACCAGTCAGGACCCAGTAGCGCTGGCGGATCTCATTCAACACCAGCTCTTGACATTGGTGGCCAGCGGCTTGGTGGTAGTGCTGGATTAGTAGCTTTGTGAACGGCTGCTCAGGGGCCAGGACAACAGGTTGTTTCGTTGAGTGGTTGAGACAATCGGCTTTCGCCAAACGACTCCTGAGTCGGAGAACTCCATGTTTGTCCACCAGAGGTGTCAGTTGTCGTAGTCGACTATTGCTTGGTAGAGGTTGTCTGTTGTCCAGTGCATTGATGTCCTCTGAGAATGCCTTGGCCTGAGCATTGCGCCACAGTAGCGGTTGTACAGCTTCGAATTCATCTGCTTCAATCTGCGGCGACGACTTCATGTCGCTCTTCTGGCCTCTGGCTGCTGCCTTGATGTTGTGCACGAAACGCATGAACCTGGCTGTGGTGCGTACGAGTTTCGCCCACGATGAAATTGGTAGCCTCAGGCAGGGCTTCGCTGAGCTGTGTGGGCGGCTCGACATGAACGGTTAGAGTAGCGAACTCGGACTTCCGCTCTGGGTCAGTGGTGGCTGTTGCTGGGGGCGATGGCTGTTGTGGCCACTCAAACTTGAGTGTTCGCAGGAATGAAGGGCCTTTGCACCATCTTCCCTCACAGAGCTCTTCAACAGAGAGACACCGAGTAGCATCATCGGCGACGTTTTCTGCTGTCGGCACCCAGCGCCAGTCCTTTGCCGTGCTGTGTTCTAGGATCTCTTCGATGCCATGAGCCACGAATGGCTTGTGCTGCCGGGCATCGGACTGTACCCACTGCAAGACGGTTCTCGAATCGGTCCAGAACCCTGTAAGCTGCCATTCGATTCTGAGCTCTTTTCTCAACATCTGGGCAAGACGGACGCCGCGTACGGCTGCTTGCAACTCCCGACGTGGGATAGACATGGGCTTCAGTGGTGCCACACGTACCTTGGCTGATACTAGGCAACTCTCGATGCCCTCCAAATCTTCGGCACTGAGGTAGGGAGCTGCTGCGAATGCTTTCGAACTTGAATCACAGAAGACATGCAGGGATCCAGGGATCCAGGGATCTTGACTGAGTAGCACCTGGGCAGTGCAAACTTGTTGAAGTCGAGTAGCTGTTGGCACCACGAACGCCACCGAGCTAGTAGACTAGTTGGGAGCTCATCATCCCAGCCGATGCCACTGAGCCGTACGTCCTGCAGCAATACTCCGGCAGGCACTGTGACCCCAGCTAACAGACCAAGTGGATCAAACACGGACATGTCGTGACTCAGGACCGCTCTTTTGGTTGGGCGTAATGACGAATCGGACAGCTGGTTGAGGCGTGATGGATGCACGGTGAACAGGAAGCGGTTACTGTTCGGGTTTCACCTCGACCCTAGCGCACGCTCCACTGGCAGCTCAGTGTTGGCGGTGAACGTGACGTCACCCACGGCGCGGAGCTCTGAGGCGATGCTCTGAGGACAGTGTGCAAGCTGCTCACCCAGTTACACACCTTGAACCCACCACGAGCTTGAACTTCTCTGTTCTGAGCCACCATCTTGGTTGCCTCAGCTTCTGTACTGCGGCTATCGAAGTAATCATCTATGTAGTAGTCCTCTTGGATAGCGGTGGCCGTCTCTGGGTACTGAGTAGCGAACTGCTGTGCGTTGTGTTTAATCACATACTGCGCTGATGCGGGCGATGAAACAGCACCGAAGATCATGGACTGCATGCAGTATTGCTCAGGGTCGCCATGGCGGCGGTTACCGTGCCAGAGAAAACACTGTGCCGACTGGTCGTCTGCCCGGATATGCACTTGGTGGAACATCTCTTTGATGTCTTCGCCGAAGGCTACCTTGAATTGTCGAAAGCGGAGTAGGACACCAACCAGAGAATTAAGTAGGTCTGGATCCTGGACTAGCGCATCATTCAGACTTGTGCCAGCGATTTTGCAGCCGCGTAGAAAAAAATCTCAATTTGCCGCGCTTGTTGACTTTGTACACCCCGAAGTGCGGTAGGTACCAGGTAAGGCCGCTGATGTTGGTAGCTTCATCGGGTGAGAGCTTGCGCGCGTGTCCCTTTTTCAGGTAGTCATTGACCTTGGACTCGTACTTGGCTGCAAATTCTGGCTGGGCATCCATCTTCCGTTCCAGGTGACGGAGGCGACCGAATGCCATGTCATAGCTTCCTGGGAGCTGTGGTCAGTCCTGCTTCCACAGCAGGCCCGTCTCGTAGCGGCCATCGATCCATTTGCTCGTATGTTGTAGCAACGTTTCAGCGTGAGCAATCGCTGACGACTTCAGTGTTTTTGCGCACAGCTTTACGCCAAAGTTCTCTACGGTGAATCTGTCCTCGACCAACTGGTTCAGAGTGTCATGGTCGGACTTCTCCCACATAGTCAACGTGATGTGCGGGTCCACTCGATTGCGAAGCTGTCCGCAGAGGCTGCCATGGATGACCCAGCCAAGTTTGGTCCGGGATGCCATGGGAGCATTGGGCGGTCCCTCAATAACTTCCCGTGCCACAGTCAGGTGGCCGTGGTCCTGACCAATCAGCAGTTGCGGTGGTGAGCCGTTACACTTCGACAGGTCAATACCGTGCAAGTGGCCCCACTTGCTCTTGACCTTGTCCAGATCGACCGGTGGCGCTGCTAGAGTTAGGCCTTGCCTAGTCCGCACATTGGTGAGGACGAAAGATGCAGAGCTGCTAGTACGGATAGTGAGGTTGACTCTCTCACTCGCTCTGTCCTCCTGTGTGATGCCGTTGGTCCACTTCAGGGACAGAGGGTCACTGGGCCCAGTAGCGCCTAGGCGCCGTGCCAGGTCTGCGTTGATCAATGTCACTGTGGATGCCTCGTCGAACAGTGCTGAGGTCTCAACTGTTCCACTGGGTCCTTCCAGTGTGACCGGCATGACACGGAGCAATACATTATTCCGTGTGGCCGTTGCGCTGACAGATTCCGCCGCATCGGTTGAGTCTGTTGCATCGGCCGGCGCTTCGTCAGCGGATATATCATGGGTGGCATTCATCACGTATGACCTGGGGGCGTGATGAAGCAGAGATTGGTGTGGCTCCTGACAGCCATCTACCTCACACTTTTTGCTGTGAGAGCAGTCTTTCAGCTGCACCTTCTGGAACACGAGTGCCCTGGCTCGTCTCTCCAGATCTTGAGTCGACAACGGTGGGCGGCTCTGGGGACGCCAGCTCAGCAGACACTTGGCGACTCCCAGCAAGCGTGGCCACCTTGATAAGCGCGACCACCAGCGCTGCTCGGGCTCCAAGCTGGCGGTGACGACATTCACCTTCACCGGTAACTCTTATTCGGTGCACTCTACTGTTGGTCATATTGGCCAGGCGGGGCCATGCTGCCAGCTCGATTGATGCAGCTCCTTCAGTGTCGCACCACGACTTGCCAGGTTGGCCGGGTTGTCGCTGCCTGGACAGTGATGCCACTCCATTCCGAGGCCGTTGGATACGTCCTGGATTTCGCTGACCCGGTTGGCGACGTACGTTCGCCAGCGATGGGGTTGGCCGGCGACCCACTGTAGCATCGTCATCGAATCCAACCAAGCGTGCGTCTCCTTGATAGCCAGGCGCACCTCTCCTGCGACGAAATGCAGCTAGCGACTGCCGACAAATGCTGCCTGCAGTTCCATCAGTGCCAGGGTCTGCTGCTTCATCGGAGCAACCTTGGCTTTGCTGAAGACCAGCTCGCTGACTCTGGGCCACGTGGCGTAGATACAGCAGCCGAACCCGCTCTCAGAGGCGTCGACAAACAGATGTACCACTGCTTCGGCGCTGCAGCTGAGGTAGCACGGCAGTGGCTGGTGCTGCAGAGCTGTCCTCTCTCCCCACCATCGCCGGATCAGCACCTGCATGCTTGCAGCCACCTGGTCATCCCACGCGACAGCCTCCTGCCATAGCTCCTTGAGGAACAGCTCTCCCTGCAGGACGTACGGCGACTCGAACCCGAGAGGGTCTTACAGGCTGGCCACGCAGTGCAGCAGCTGGCGCTTTGTCGTCGGATCGTCACAGTCTGGAGGCACCGGAATGCGAAGCGAATCCTCTTCGCCATTCCAGCAGAGACCGAGCACCTTGCCGCTCGACTGTACCTCGTCATCTCCAAGCGAAACATTGCACTTCCACTTCCGCAGATCCATGGCACGCGGTGCGGATCTTCTTGAACTGGCGTGCCGCGTCATTCGTTTGCACGCTGGCGATGCAGTCATCGACGTACAGACTGTCGCGCAACCGGCCAAAGACGTCTGCCTCGGTCGGCGTAGCATGCTCCAGCGCGGACTCCAGGTGCGTCCGCAGCACTGCTGTGAGCAGAAACGGTGAACAATTCACCCCAAACGGCACCCTCGCCAGTCGCCAGACCTGCATCTTGCCTGACGCATCGCTCCACAGAAATCGGAGATAGCGCCGGTTGGCCTCCTTCATACCGATCATAACGCAGGCCTTCCTGATGTCGGTTTGCACGGCGACCGACTGTTCCCGGAACGGAATCAGCAAGCCTGCCAAGCTCGGTAGTAACGACGGGCCCGGGTCCAGCAGAGCGTTCAACGACTCACAGCCGGCCTGTGACGCGGACGCATTGAAAACAACGCGCGTCTTCGTCGTCGTGGATTCGGCCTTGAATACTGCATGATGCGGCATGTAGTATCCCGCCGTCGACGGGTCCGGCTCAAGCTCGATCGCGCCCAGCTCACCGTACTCGCACAGAAGGACGTCGTCATACAGCGCCCGCCGGCCGTTGCGGTCGAGCCTTGCCATAAGTCGCGACGCCGTTGCCATGGTCTGCGCATAGTTGTCGGCTGGACGCTCCGCCGACTTCCAGAGCAGGCCGACTTCGTAGTGCTGTTCCTTCCGATCTCCACAGAGAACTGTTCACTCTTGTGCATGGTGTCTGCAGTGAACTGACCCTTGATGGATAGAGGTGCACCAGATGGACCAAGGAGTTTGGTACTGGATGGTGTGAGTACAGGGCGTTGTTCGAGATTCTGTTAGTGAAGTGCATGATACACGATACATCAGCACCTGTGTCGATCTTGAATATCAAATTTGTCGAGCAAACAGGCTGACTTACTGACCAGGTCAGTTGACTGGGAAGGACTGGTGTTGGATGACAGCTCTACCACAACACCCATGAGTGGCGACGGGGACGCAAGGATTCATTTGTGACAGCTCTGGCACCACGCGTGGTTGCTGGAGTGGAAAGACAGACGGCGGCGAAGTGGCCCTTCTTTCCGCATGAATTACACTTGCGACCAGATGCAGGACACGCAGAACGGTTGCTCTTGTGCGAACCAGCGTGGCCACACCACGGACTTGTTGAAGATGTAGTGCCGCTCTTCCTCTGCATGGACGGCGTTAATGCAGGCTTCGATGGAATGTCACTGCGCTGGAGACGACTCCTTGCATCTTGCTGCTT